AGAAGTGCAGCCATGACAACCATTCTTCTTCGCTGCTTTTGTGGAGGAAGTTGCTGCTTTTGTGGAGGAAGTTACAGCGCCACGTACAGGCTCGGCATATGTACTGCAGCTTTTCCAGCGGTTGGATGTAAACGGAGCCGTCTCGTGGAGCTTGACACAATCCGGTGTATATTGCGTGTGGGCGGAAGGTTTTTTGCGGTTGCGTTTGCGTTACTCCGATGCGTTTTGCCGTATGCGTTCCCGTGGAGCCGGGGCCTAAGATCCCCAGAGGTCCCTGGGTCAGTGAAGCACAGCTCAGCTCACTTCCTCCAGTGGAGGTGCCAGAGCTCCACCTGCTCATGTTAATCCATCCCGGGAATGAAATACACCCCCCTACTACAACTAAATACTCACTCTCTCACTCACACACACACACACCCACCTCCCATTACCCCACTGTCCCACCAGATTGGGGGAGGGGGGACAGCAGGATGTGAGACCAGCTGGTCATCAGCTCAGACAAAGAAACCTGCTCAATGTGCTCTTGCATCAAAAAGAAACTCGAATTTCTCACATTGCTGTTTTTTCATAGCCTCACCAACTCTGTATAACTTTTCAAGTGCTATGACACGAAAAACCTCAAGTCTGATTCAATAAGTCATAACAAAAATTCTACTTCTGTTCAACCCAATACTGTAGAGATCCTATAGGCTTAGAGACATGAAAACAAAGTATTCACACAACAAATCAAACTGTGGAACCATTGACGTGTAAACAATAGGACTGGCTTGACCAGAGCAGGAAAGAGAGCAGAGAGGAGTGAGAAAGAGCTGCGCTACAGGAATGATGTGGAGATGCCAGTGGCAGGTGTAATTTATCTTTGGTCTTAGCCTAGTTCAGCAAGGTTGTTGGGGAAAGACAAACCAGGGCTCTGTACATCCAACTGGAAACTAAGGGGAGTGACACCGACTGCAGAATTCACTAGCACAATGTAAAGACTGCAGTGTGAAGTGAATGTCCTAGATTTGTTAACCCAACTTCCCTCACAGAGAACCAAACTTGAAAGCCCAGTGAAGCTGGATGTCTTCACATATTCAAAAGGAATAGAAAAGTAGATAGACAGAGCACCATTCATTCTCACATAGCCATTTTGGATTTTCCTTAAGATCACAACAGAGACTTATACAACAAAGACACATCAAATAAAAAAGATGTCTACTGAAGCTTAAAAAAAACAATGGTAGGCCGATTCACTTTCAGTGAAGGGGCATAATTTGAGTTGATCTTGACTGCGGGGGGAGAAAAGCAAGACTTTTATCTGTGCAGTTTTGCGCTCGAAAAGAGGCCCAAATGGCAGATGAGCAGATCCCAGAGGAAGTGTACACAGACGCACTGGCGTGTATGAAGGGGGGGGGTCACAACTGAGGTGCATTTTCACGGCTGAGTGAAGCATTAATCTGCCCTTAGCCACCGATCTATTAGCACACAGCGGGAGGGTACTGGTGACAGCTGAGGATTACAAATATTGCCTAGTCATCCTTACTAATTATCATACACATATATAGAGCCTTATAACAACAAAATAACTACAAATCGTATTTTCTCCAATTACTTGTGTAACTATGGCATTAGTTGCTGATAGCGGCAACACATTTTTCTCATAGCCCATTTGCAACAGTTCTTATATTGAGACAGGAACGGTAACATATCATCAGTGTATCTGCAAGATCCTATTAGGCAATAATACTGGGAGCAACATACATAGAACCTGTTTTGCAAATCTAATGGAGACACACCCATCAGGGATATGTTCCCTATTTCAACACTGGAAAACCAAAATAAGAACAAGTAAATATACTCAGGTTATGTACATTTGGTAGAGGCATTTTTTAGGCTGCTGTCTACTGCACCTGCAGAACACCTGGCCCCTCTGAATAGGGTCCTACTTGTGCTTTTGAGCAGGTGTAACTGACCTAAAACAAATCCTAAAAGTGAACATTTCAGTCGATATGCTTGCAGACTTAATGTACGCCTGGTCAAGGGCAGTGCAGTGCACAAAAGAAACACAAAGAGCCATGACATCGGATATGAGGGAGGGGGGGCAATCAGACTTGTGAATGGACTTCTTTGTAACCTGTCATGGGACTTGAGAATGGCTAAAAAGATAATTCCCTCTTCCTCAACATGATCTTTGAGGCACAGCTAGTTTGTCAGAGCAGCGAAGAGAAATTTAGATGGCTTTATTGCAAACTTCCCAGCTGAAGAGTCACACAGAACTGTATAGTAAGCAATTTGTCAATAATTGACAGAATAGGTTGAGCAACCAAGAGATTCACCCGTGACAATGACGTGTGCCAAGTTAAATAACAAAAAAGTCATTATAAAGTCATTCATTTTTTCTCAATTTTCACTCAGGTGTAACTTGCAAAGTAAATGTCCGAGTAGCAAAACTGAAACCGGTTACCGGCTATCTGAGAATTTTTGCAATGAGTAAACAGAGCTGTGACCAGCATTAAGGGCTAAGGATATACAGGCCTTTGGGAATTCCCGACCAGCTGCCTAATTAAAAAAGGCTTCTCTACACTAATTTCATACAGAAAGGTCATAATGAATGCTACTATTTAAGTAGTATAATCCCAGCTTGGATAGAATCTTGCCCGAAAATCAGTCAGACCCACACATCATTCTTTCATTTAGTCTTTTACAAAGCATGTGGCAAATGGAGACATCGTTACAGCAGAGAGCATTATCTAAGATTGGTGGGCAGTGAGGTGGGGGTGAGTCACAACAAACTTAAGAAACTGTCAGGGCGTCTAAATCTCCATCTGTTCACTTCGTTAAACCCCCTCAATACGAGACCTATCCACCTCTAGCCGCACCATAAAAAATACCTATACACATCACAATTGCTTTAATGGTCTTATCAATATAAAACATATTACCAGTTCCCTGTGTTTAAAGCATCTTAATGGCTGTATTGATTTTGCTTGTGTATAAAATGTTACTGTATACATAACATCCCCTGCTTGACAGCCCTGTAAGCTTGTGACTGTGTCCCAGGGTAGTTTGTAGCCCCAATATAAAAGAAGTGAGTCTGCGAAGGTGTCCCCTCTGAGCCGATTATTCTTTATCTATGGCATATGTTGCACATGCTGGTTGCATCCCATAAGCATGCCGCAATGCGTCCACACTGTGCTCATTCAAATACATACAAAAAAACTGTATAACACAAGATGTTAAGACTGAAATTGAAAAATAGACTGACAAAGCCAAAGACTCATCTTTGACCTGAATACCCAGTGACAAGAAAGGACAGAAAAGCATAAAGGCATTCAGACCCATACTGACGTATGAGCTCATTATGGAATGTAATGTATCATACAGTCAGTGCCCTTGTTCCTAACCCTGTATGGGCCTGACCTCTCACACGGCTCCTTCGCTGAAGCCCCGCTGACTCTGAGGACCCGAGAGAGCCCGTATGCTTTGTGTCTGCACGCTACGCTTTCACTGCAGCCACACGAGACATTGTGTCAGCCCGCATTTATGTCTCCTGGTTGAAGCCAGCATCACACAGAGACTGTGTCGGTTAGCTTAGCAGTCTGCGCCAGAATATCTGGGTGTATCCGTCACTCAGCAGGATTTCAGGGGCCATGCTCCAGGTACAATGTGAATATCTGACAGGGTTGAACTAAGTGGAGGAAACAGACTGTCTGTCCGCAGGTAAGCCTCATCAGGCAAAGCTTTTGTGCAATAACTACACTTAAATATCCTGCAGCTACTGTATGTGTGTCTTCATGAGTGGAACCCTGGCATCTGTGAAAAAATTGTTCATGCAAGAGCCAAGTTTGGGTCCAAAGAGAAGTTATACACACACATTTTATAAAAAGAAATAGCAATAAGAGCTGATCTAAAACAAGTATTCTTACGTCAAAGTCTGGGGATGCTAGAAAAATAAGTTCTATTGTTCCCAGAAAGTAACAGGTGGTCCTGTCAACACTTCATCCTCTGTTGACCTTGACTTGTTAACATCTTCTTCATTAGTGAACAAACCACTTGCCCCTTCGCCCCTAAGCAAAAGCCAAGAAACATGAGACTGACAATGTCTACTACTGAACAGTGTATTCATTCAAACTCCCAGCTCCATCACAATCACAGCCAGAACCATGTCTCAATAATAAACAATTGCTGAACTGAATAAAACAGGGAGAAAGTTGACCGAGCAAGTGCTTTGTTCACCATCTCTGGAGAGCTATGGAAAGAAAGACCTACAACAATTCTGCTACCCTAAAAATAAACTCTCTGGCTGCGCAGAGAGAACTTTTTCAGTTCTCATTTTTCAAACAGTGGGTGTGTGGGTGGGAAAACCGTTTCAATTCATTCCACGCATGCCTTCCCACACTGCATACAACCCACTGGCCAGTGATGCCATTACTAGGCAACATGTTGTGTGCCAGCTGTTTTGGTCAGGGTCATTCCCTCTGAACATGCAGCATACCCAACCTTTAGCCAAAGAACACTTCTCTTCGACTAACTAAAACATCCTATCGTGCCTTGTCCATTCATCTTTACACAACTTACTAAGGGCTTCAGTATTATTTGGAAAAACACCCCCATGCAAAGATGAACTGGATTACCATAGTTGTATGATTCAAGATTCAAGTTTATATTGTAACTGTTGGATACTTTATGGCTCTTGATTATTCATTGATGTCACAAGACTGCAGGGCACAATGGCCAAACATATTCGAAGGAGGCAAAGAAAGAAGTATGCTACCTTTGATGAGAAGGAATTACCTGAGCCGGTTATATCATGCAAGCTATTTCACCTTGGGTAAACTTTTCTAATTAAATATGTGGATTAAACACATTGAAATATGTGCAATTGTTTAGTGCTGTAGAGAGAATTTGACAGAACCAGGATATCATGCACAAGGAGACACTATAGCCAGCTTGGCTCAGGGGAATGATGCACATTGCTGAATGACACAGAGGTTACATTTTGGACTGTTAGCCATGCATACCTTTGGTAGCTCTTTGAGTTGGTTGGCATCGAGGAGAAGCTCCTCCAGGCTGCGACTGTAGCGGAATACCTCATCGGGGACTGTCTGCAAGTTGCAATGCCGCTTGTCCACCGACTCGACGTGGCGGTTGCAACGCCACAGGGGGATACACTTCAGCATGTCCGGCCGCCGGGGGGATTTGGTCGCCGGTGCTACTGAAATCTCCGCATCGGAGGATGAAGGTCGGCAGGATATTTTTTGCGTGTAGACTCACTCAATGTCAAAACACTCACAGTGTTCCCACGACGATCCCCAACAGGAGGCCGAAATCCACTTAGAGACACCAAAATAATCCCTTCGACCTGTTAGTGATATTCCCAGTTTCAGTTCAACTGTGTTTGTCAGGTTTGTCCTCGTGTCATCCACACCGGAATGAAAGATAAACACAAATAAAAACTCCCGCTTGCCTTCAGTTTTTCCTCACTTCTTGCAGTCACTTCTTCACAGAGGGGAGTAACGTTAGCTTGTTTTGCTACCGCCACATCCCTGAATGAGACCGAAGCAGTGCCTTGGCTAGCTGAAAAACAAGCAAACGAACCAGTTATACTTAAGTGTTGCTTCAAGTATCCTAGTCATGAGTGGTAGCTGATAAAAAAAACACTTGACTTAGGTTACAAATAAATGACTACCATGAAACAGCTAACATAACCCACGGAGCGAGTCAACAGAGATTAACCCGAGTGTGGCTGCGCAAGGATGTGCTCGTTCTCGGCGGCTGTGTTGTTAGCATGCTAGTTACAGTTAGCTAACATCGGCTCGTAGCTCTCTAAACGCCTTTGTGCCTAGCTGCCGATAGCTCACTAATATAAGTATAACGAACGTTACGGAAAACACCCTATTAACCGGCCAAAGAGTGAAGTGGCAACATGCCAGTAGACGTACAATAAACTGCCTGGTTTTGTTTTAATGCGACGTAGTTACAATGCCAGCCAGGAGCTTCAGCAACAGCCGCGCATCACTCCCCTTGTTGCGCTGAGGCAGGCCGGTTTGTCCTGTATGGCTGTGGGGGGCTGGGCCGAGTTTGAGTTGGAGTACAGGCCACTACTACTGGCGGCTGGGCAGCAGTTCCGTTACTGTACAGCGACATCTAGCGGTGGATGACAGTTGGCTTAAATGTATACACAACACAGTACTATCATATTGTTTAACGAAAAAACCAGGCCATAATAAAGTATCATTAAAATATGACTGCCTATAATTTAATGTCCTCGAGTTTGCACTATTTGTTACATGTCTTCAACGGTTGCTTTATTCTTGCTACATGACTATAAATTGCAGGACTTTCCAGTTGTGTGCAATGCAGGGAGACAGTGTACATTACTGTGTCCACAACAGGGAATAGCTCTACTACCACAATGTGTAACCAGGTCCATGGTCTTTGAGGACAGACGTGAACAAAACCATGCATATAGCCGATGAATTAATTTCTTGAACACACAAGTCAAACATCCATCTACAAGCTATTCACCCTTCACTGAGTAGCAAGTAGGTGAAAAACTAAAATTATGCTATTGTAAAGAAGAGATGCAGGGCTAAACAAACATGAACTTACCTACTCAAGTGCCATGATAACAGTGAAGCAGGTTAAAAAATAAAACCTATGGCAACTAAACCGAGTCAAATAGACCCAAAAATGTCAGAAATCGAGAAAAGACTGTCTTGGCTGATCGTTTTGAATGATCATTAAGTAAATATGTATCTATTCAAAGTCTGAAGTGTTATTTTACTATTTCAGAAGTTGTTCACCACCTGTACTAACCACAAACGCAGTGGCATTTGAGAATGACCAATACCCGATTGGACTACAAATGCGCATGCATAAGTAAAAGTACATGTTTTTACTTTTTAAACATGTTCTACAATCACTCACACAACTAATTATCTCAAAACAAAGGACTCTTTATTCATAAACTAAAGAAAAACTGCATCACACGTTCTTAGGAACAAACAATAACCTTTAATCATAGAAAGGATGTGTTAACTTGTCCCAGAAAATTAATGAAAGGAAGAAAATGTAAATGAGCGAAAGCAGGAAAAATGAACATGTTACAAGTTTGGATTACAAAAAATTGAAACTTGCATAAAAAAAAAGGAATTTTCACAAACAACAAAGCAAAATCTGACATGTAAATATTTTTCTATGAATCCCCCCCCAAATGGGGCATTTAACATTAATATCAACAGCAATTTTAAAAAACAAATAAAAAAAACATAATTACAAGTTTCAGTGGTCCGCATCTCTAGCTGCAGAGACTGACATGAGTTTAGGGGACAGGTATGGGGGTGGGTGCTGGTGAACCATTACAAACACTTTTACGCAGAGAGATCACTACTGTTGAAACGGTCTTGGTCATACACCTCTGCGACAACTTTGCGACCTCCGAACCAGCGGTCATTGAGGGCCTGGATGGCTTTGTTCATCTCTGAGGCCATGGAAAACTCTACAAAAATTTTGACAATGATATCTGCATCCTCCTCTTCTCCTTGCTTCTCCTGGTATATGATGACTCTGTTGACGGCGCCAAACTTCCCGCACTCTTCGGTCACCTCCCCCTCCAGGTCGTCGTCGATGTCCTCAGGTCCAACCATATTTCGGAGCACCATAACCGTAGACTAGAAAGGAGCAACGCAATCATTTTACAAGTAAAAAGTATTTGCTAATAAAATGTCTTTTAAAGGCTCTTCTTTCACCACATATGACCAAAACTTACCTCTGATTTTCTTAGCAGTTTCTGCATCACCATGTGTCTGGCACTGCTGCCCGAGATGCTCATGTGTTCTTGGTCACTCAACATCTCCTGCCCTGTACCGTCCTGCAGCATCTCCTCTTTCTCTTCTTTCCTCTCTTGTTGGTTGGAGCCTCCAGCTTGATTGGACAGGACTGGCGGTGAAGCGAGCACTGGGTTCACAAGACCAACCTGGGGGAGCACTGGTATGGGTGGACGCACTGGAGTCACACCTGTTAGGGAAATGCAGATATGCATTCAGTGACATCACATGTGTAAATAAATAAACTTTAATAAAACTAGAGAAGTTATCATTTACAGAGCATGTGCTAACTTTCGATCCGAACCATTCTCTTAATGGGTTGTAACTTAACACCATATCAGTAAGCTAGGATAAAAACTATCCTGTATGATTCCATCTCCTACGATGAATCGCAGGTGAGTTTTGAAATCGCAAGAAGTCTCATGTCAAATGGGTGGCCATATGAATTGGCTAGTGTTCTTCCATACAGCTAGCTTAGCTTGACTCAGCCAATTGTGGATCGTGGCAAGGATTTGCTTTTTCATTAGAACAGGGCTACCACCTTTAAAGTGAGTCTAAAACTGATCCATGGCTGTGAATGTTTGTGGCCAACCGAAGGGCTGTAAAACGGTGGATGAACTAATTTATATCATCAATTATTCAGATTTAAAAGTAGCCCCATTTGTTTTGGTGCTTACTCTTTCTCCCTGCAGTATTGCCTTGTTTTAATGAATCTGGTTATAAACACTTAATAAATCCTTTACAATACAAAGTCACATATTGTTAATTAAAAGCTTTTGTTATGGGGCTGCAAAAAAGCTTAGATTATCTAAAGCAGGGGTCTCCAACACGTCGATCACAAGCTACTGGTAGCTCGCAAGTCCTCAATAAGTAGCTCGCCAAGCAAATCCAAAATGTAAAAAATACACAAAAGAAAAAAATAGGAATTGTAATTAAACAAAACCTCAAGCATAGCTAATTCTATCTACAACTCTATATCTATCCAACACCCCTCGTCCCCCCACAATGAATATTGACCAATCACGTTCTTGCTTGATTTGCGGGACCAGCGTTGCAGTTGGGAGGAAAAGATAGTGGAGCAGCACCTCACCGGTTCATAAGGAGTTTGACCGTGATTTTCCTTCTGGCAGAATCTACACAACACATCAGCCCCATTGAACACAGCCTAGTCATGCCAGCCTATACAGCACATGAGGGGCAGGATTTTACCGTGTGTGTTGCAACTTGCATATATATTTATGGCACTTGACGCACACATACGCATGGCGTAATTTCCACTGGGGACAGGGGGGATATGTCCCCCCCCACTTTTCGAAATCCCGTTTGTGTCCCCCCCAGAGTTTGCGTTAACTGAATATTTTCCGTCTATGACGGATTTTTTTTTATAACAATGACGGAAAAATCTGAAAGCCGTCATTTTGACAGATTTCAACAAACTCAGAACAGCGCCAAAGTTTCCCCGCAGCGGGGCTCCGGTGTCATGCCGTGTTATGCATGCCAAACCAAAAGGAAATTATACCGTTTCCAAACCTAACTTTGCCGAACAAATCATTGAAATGTCTGTGAGTATTTGCTTTACGCTGTGCGCGCTCCCGCGAGGTGCAGTGGGCATGCGTAATGCAAAATGACGGACAGCGAAAAAGTCTATTGCAACCTCTGGTCCCCCCACTTTACAAATATGTTTTTTTTTTTTTTTTTTAACGCAAGCCGTCATCGCCACGGAGGAGCACACAGCCTTTGTGAGCAAGCGAGACAGAGAGCACACCTTTATCTATTTAATATATATAGACACCCCTCCTCCCCCCACAATGAATATCGACCAATCACGTTCTTGCAACAGTATAAAAGGGGAGTGATTAGTAAAATATGCATAAATAAAAAGAAAGAATGCTAACTAACATCTGAATAAACAAGTTTAAATGATTTGTTATTGGTTGTGATCATATTCTAAAGATTTTTGGATTATTGAAAAGTATACAGCTCCCTTTCATATGAGTGTTGAGAGCTGTATACATACATTCTTTTTGTGCTCAAAGTGCACCAGATTGATGCTTTTAACTTCAACATTAAAAAAAAACATCTTCCCGGGGGTGCATGAGAATGTGAGGTGCAGCCCCAAATAAAGCAGGTTAAAACAATTAAAAATTGCATACATTTTCTTTTAGTAAACACTGAAAACGGGTCCCACAGACCCAAACAGCACACAAAGGTTAAAGGTAAGCAGATAATGTTAAAATGTGCAAAATATATACACTGCAACAACAAAAAAAATAGCTCACGACTTGTTTTATTTTTTGAAAGTAGCTCTCATCCTAAAAAAGGTTGGAGACCCCTGATCTAAAGAATTAGTTGATTGTAGTAATTATTCAAGGCTAAACAAAATGTTGGTAAAATTGCATTGGATGTAAAGCTGGATGTTTTTAAAGGCTCTTAAATAGCACAGTGAATTACTAAGCTCTTGCTTTTTTATTTTTTATAAATTGAGTACTTACTCATATCTCGGTACACACCTGTGATGACCCCTGGTGCCTGGGCAGCCATAACAGCCTGAGGAATACCCATTTGCTGACTGAGAAGTTGGGGTGCGGCTAACGCCCCCAGGACTGATGCACCGGCTACAGCCTCCTTGAGAGAGGGGGGCCGAAGACATTAGGTAAGGGAAACACACAGAGAACAGCACAAGGCCGCACAATCAACCATCACACAGCATGGCACAGAGTCAGAGCAACCTTAACTCCCTGTAGTGAGAATCAAAGTCTCTTCAGATTTACTAACAAAATCATCACCTATACTTAGCAAGTCATAGATATACAGCAGTGGAAAATATACATCAAGACACTACAAGAAAACACAATGGACTGATTTATTGTTAGGACCTTTCACACAGGAAAAATAATTATGTTTTGCCAACTAAGAGAGGACTCTTAGCTTACACACCCAATCAGTGAATGGGAGGAGCATTTATTGCTAACGTTATTATACAAAAAGATAAATATACATTCCGATTTAAATACATTAAACTGGATAAAAAAAGACTTAGCCCAGAATGTCCTGAATCTCATTTCAGGGCTGTTAAATTGACACATGGGCAACTACTGTTTTTTTTATGTGATCTTTACAAAACTGGCCTTCTCCCTGTCACCTGTACCAAAGTATATATGCCCATGTTAACTGTGCTTAAGGTGTCAATTCTAGCTAGATCTGGGTTATATT